GTGAAGGACGTGGTGCGGTTCTTCAACCGGAACTTCCCCGAGGCTGTGCTCAAGGTGGGGGACCCCGGCCGGGGGGCGGGGGGCACGGCAATGCGACCTCTGACCTCCCGCCCCCGCCCAGGAGCGGCACCACACCAAGGTGCAGTACCAGCTGAAGTCCGAGCGCATCTCGCTGGCCCAGGGTGTTCAGCAAGATGGAGCAGGTGGTGGGCGTGCTGGGCATCGAGGACTACTCGGTCAGCCAGACCACACTGGACAACGTGAGTGCCGGCCGGGCGCCCCTCACCCCCCTCCCCCCCTCCCCTCCACCCCTCCCCTCCTAACCCACCCCTCACCCCCACACACACCCTCTCACCCCCCACTGCCCGCCCCCCGCCCCTCACCCCCCTCACGCCCTCACCTCCCCTCCTTACCCACCCCTCACCCCACACACACACCCTCTCACCCCCCACTGTCTACCCCCCGCCCCTCACCCCCCTCACCCCCTTCCCCCCACCCCTCCCCTCCTTACCCACCCCTCACCCCCCCACACACACCCTCTCACCCCCCACTGCCCGCCCCCTGCCCCTCCCCCCTCCCCCCCACCCCTCCCTCCTTACCCCCCCTCACCCCCCCACACACCCTCTCACCCCCCCACTGCCCGCCCCCCGCCCCTCACCCCCCTCACCCCCTCACCTCCCCACCCCTCACCCACCACACACACACCCTCTCACCCCCCCACTGCCCGCCCCCCGCCCCTCACCCCCCTCACCCCCTCACCTCCCCACCCCTCACCCACCACACACACACCCTCTCACCCCCCCACTGTCCACCCCCCCGCCCCTCCCCCCCCTCCCCCCTCCCCCCACCCCTCCCCTCCTTACCCATCCCTCACCCCCCACACACACCCCCTCACCCCCCCACTGCCCGCCCCCCGCCCCTCACCCCCCTCACCCCCTCACCTCCCCACCCCTCACCCACCACACACACACCCTCTCACCCCCCCACTGTCCACCCCCCCGCCCCTCACCCCCCTCCCCCCCTCCCCCCACCCCTCCCCTCCTTACCCATCCCTCACCCCCCACACACACCCCCTCACCCCCCCCACTGCCCGCCCCCCGCCCCTCACCCCCTCCCCCCCACCCCTCCCCTCCTTACCCACCCCTCACCCCCCACACACACCCCCTCACCCCCCCACTGCCCTCCCCTTGCCCCTCACCCCCCTCACCCCCTCACCTCCCCACCCCTCACCCCCCACACACACACCCTCTCACCCCCCCACTGTCCACCCCCCGCCCCTCACCCCCCTCACCCCCTCACCCCCCACCCCTCCCCTCCTTACCCACCCCTCACCCCCCACACACACCCTCTCACCCCCCACTGCCCGCCCCTCTGCCCCCTCCTCGCCCACTGCCCGCCCCTCTGCCTCCTCTCCGCCCACTGCCCGCCCCCTCTGCCCCCTCCTCGCCCACCGCCCGCCCCCTCTGCCCCCTCCCCGCCCACTGCCCGCCCCTCTGCCTCCTCCCCGCCTACTGCCCGCCCCTCTGCCCCCTCCTCGCCCACCGCCCGCCCCCTCTGCCCCCTCCCCGCCCACTGCCCGCCCCTCTGCCCCCTCCCCGCCTACTGCCCGTCCCTCTGCCCCCAGGTGTTTGTGAACTTTGCCAAGAAGCAGAGCGACAACCTGGAGCAGCAGGAGACGGAGCTGCCCTCGGCCCTGCAGTCCCCGCTGGGCCGCCTGCTCAGCCTGTTCCGGCGCCGGCCCGCCCCCACCGAGCTGCGGGCGCTGATGGCCGATGAGCCCGAGGACCTGGACACGGAGGACGAGGGCCTCATCAGCTTCGAAGAGGAGCGGGTGAGCCGGCCCGCGGGCGGCGGCCGAGTCCGGGACGGAGGGACCCGTGCGCGGGACAGACCGCCCCCGGCAGACAGGCCCCCACAGACCCTCGAGGCCCCGAGGCTGGGAGAGGCCTCGGCGAAGGCAGGCAGGGGTGGGGGCACCGGGCTGAGCAGAGGCCGCCCCCTGGGCGAGGGCGGGGAGGGGGAGAGCATGCTGGGTGCCGGGTGCCGCCCTAACCGGCCCGTCTGCCGTCTGCCAGGCCCAGCTCTCCTTCAACACGGACACGCTCTGCTGACCACCAGGCGCGGCTCAGTTCGCGCCGGAGGGGCGGAACTCAGGGGGGACAGAGCTGGCCCGGGGCCCGCCCAGCAGGCCCTGGAGGGGGAGGTCCAGGACCAAGGGCTCCATCCCCTGCCCCGGGCCAGGGCCGCCCTCCCCACATCGTGCCAAAGGCCGCCGGGCCGGCTGACACCCTCCCCCGCTCTGCCTTAAGCCTCAGCCTCGGCCGGAGCCCGGCTCTGCCCGCCCAGCTCGCCCCCCACCCCGGGGCCCCCGGGGTGACGCTGCCCGGTGTGCCCGCCCCTCCTGGACCCCCTTCTCTCTGACGACCCGGGGCTGGGCCGGGACTCGGGGGCCGCATCCCGGCGCCGGGCACCCACCGGCTGAGGTTCTGGAAGGGGCGCCAGGACCTGCTTTCCTGCTGGGGGGTCCCCCCTATGGGCTGGGCAGAGGCTGCTGGAGGCAGCAGGCTGGGTCAGGGATGGGAGGCCGGCCCCACTGGCCAGGACAGGGGCCCCGCCTGCCCCCCGGCTGTCACTGCTCCCCACCCAGCCGCCCGCCTGCCGCCGGGAGCCGGAGCTGTACGCAGCGCACAGATGTTTGTTTTAAGTAAATAAACAGAAAAGGCCACGCGAGCGTTGTGTCTTGGGGTGATGGGGCCCCCGGGGACTCGGGGCACCAGCCTGTGGGGGAGGGGGCTCCCACCCCCCATTCCCTGGCACTGCGGTGGGGAGACCAGGCAGGGGCTGTCCACGGCTCCCCCAGCACCCTCAGCCTGGGCTCCCGCACTCGGCACCCAAGACGATGGGGTCCTCGTGTTCGAGGCTGGGGCAGGCCGGTGAGGCCTCCCGTGCCCCCACGGGCTCGGGCCGACGGGCTGGGGGCCGGGGCGGGCGGGGCTGGCTGCCGGGCTCCTCCGGGCTGTGGGGGGCTGGAAACGGTCACGGGGACCTCCCAGGGGGTCGTGGTCAGTCCTCCCCCTCGGGTGCTTCTGGGACACAGGCCCCCGGAGGGCGGGGTGCACGGCGGGCTTGTCCCTGTCGCCCGGGGGGTGTGGGGGGGGGCCTGTCCCGCCATCTCCCCGGCACTTCCTCCCACAGGGACCCTCTGCCTTCACAATAGCCCCACGGCCCTGTGGGATTTACTAGTAAAAGTCACATCCCCATCACGACTCGTCTCTTAAAACTCTTTATTGTGGCAAAGTATTCGAGGCAGTGTGTTTGCTGTCGCCGTGTGTACGCCCGAGGCCCAGGCTCAGCCCGTGGGGCCGGCCGTGGCTCTGTCCCGTGGGCTCGTCCCTTTTGGAAGCTCTCGCTGGGGCCAGTCCCAGGCCTGCCTCGAACCCGTGCCATCTGGACCACTACTTCTCTGAGGAGTCCTGGCTCCTCTGGGCAGGGGGTCTTGTTTGGGACCCCTATCGGGGCTCTGGCCATGCTCCTCTCCGTGGGCGGGGCAGGGAAGCACCTGCTGAGGCCCCGCCCACCCCGTGCCCCCTCCCCGCCCCAGGAACCTGCAGGGCGGAGCCATTGGATGCCGCTGGGAAGGGCCCCCGGGGGCTGGAACGGGTATTAGTGTCGACCTCAGGAAGGGGAGGGAGAGGAACAGCCATGATGAGAGAGGATCATGGGTCGGCTGCCTCCTGCACACCCCACACGGGATCTGGCCCACAACCTGACTGGGAATCGAACTCTGACCTCCTGTGTCAGAGGTCGATGCTCAACCCCTGAGCCGCGCCGGCCGGGCAGGCCTGCCCTCTTGACCGAGAATTGGATGCGAGACCCGTTCGTATTTGGGCGGTGCTCTAACCATTGGGCTTGCTGGCTAGGGCCAGTCTCCCTTCCCGTGAGGGCAGCCGGACCTCACTTTCCTGGACCCCTTTTTAAAGACTCCACTGCAGCCAAAACCGGTTTGGTTCAGCGGTAGAGCGTCGGTCTGCGGACTGAAAGGTCCCGGGTTCGACCCCAGTCAGGGCCATGTACGTTGGCTGCGGGCACATTCCCGGTGGGGGGTGTGCAGGAGGCAGCTGGTCGATGTTTCTCTCTCATCGATGTTTCTAGCTCTCTATCCCTCTCCCTTCCTCTGTGAAAAATCAATAAAAATATTTTTTAAAATAATAATAAAAACTCCACTGCGGCTGCCCTCGAGGTGCTGGGATGCGTGTCCGGCGTGTGAACGAGGGGGCAGCGTCCAGCTCCGAGCTCCACAGACGCTCCCTGAGACACAGGGGCTGTCCCAGAGCTGGTGCAGACACGTCCCCCCCCCCCCCCCCCCGTTCCGCATCCGCAAGGACCCGCCGTGAGCACCGGCTCGGCCGCCGGCCCGGTCCCCGCACCGCCCGGCGTGAGACCGCGGTGCGGCCTGCGGCCCGGCCGGCTGCGCTCACAGCTGCGGCTCCTCGCGGAGGCTGAGGCCGCGCGTTCTCACAGCCGCGGGGAGCGGTGCACGGCCTCACCGGGGCTCCGGGACCGGAGTCTGGGGGCAGGACACGCACAGGGCAAGCCCCCGGCGGCCGAGGGGCCCCAAAACGCCCGCGGGAGGCGGGAGGCCCCGAGGGGAGCGGACACCAGGCTCCACCGGGAGCCCGGCCGCCGTGGGGCCGGGGAGGGGCCCCCAGAGCTGAGCCCCCGCAGGGCCTGTGGCCGGGGCTGGAGCGACAGGCAGATCCCGCTCCTGGCCGCCGGGTGGCGCCGGGGAGGAGTGACGAGGTGCAGCCTGCAGGGCTGTGGGCGCGGGTTCCCGCCTCCCGCTGCGGGTGGGGAGGGCCAGCCCGTGGGCGGGGGTCATGGCCTCGAGCCCCTTCCCCGGAGCGGCGAGGGAAGGAGCCCCGCACTTGGGTGGGAGGGGAGGCCGTGGCCCCGGGCGGGCACGGAGCCGGGCCGGTCTCCGGGCTCGGCGGGCAGGGCCCCGCCTGGGCAGCGGGTAGGCCCGATGGAGTCTGGGGCTCACCCTCTTGTGAGCCAGCAGATGGGGATGCGGAGGCCGGGGCCCGGCTGACCCTTCCTCCTGCAGCTTCCAGCCTCCTTGGCCGGGTCCCGACCGCCCTACACCGGATGTTCCTTCCAGGGCAGCGGGGTGCACCGGGGTGTGTGTGTGTGTGTGTGTGTGTGTGTGTGTGTGTGAGATGATCCAGTGCTGCCTCCCAGGCTGACCCCCGCTCTCCTGGCTCCCAGTCCACTGGTCACGGCCTCCACCTCACCGGGCCCCCCTGACACACTCGGAACCTCAGACCCAGCCCCTCCACCCGGTCCCCCCAGGCCGCACCCTCAGCCTGGACCGTGCCCGTCCGCTGCCAGCGCCCGCCTCCCGCCTCCCGCCTGCCAGGTGGCTCCGCGGCTGGGGCCTGGCCAGAGGGCAGGGCCCGGGCCAGAAGGGGCGGGGCGTGGCCAGAAGGCGTGGCCTGAGGCAGGAGGGCGGGGCTGGGTCGGAGGGCGTGACTTAAGCAAGCAGGGCGGGGCCTGGGGCTGAGCCTTAAAGAGCCCCCGCGCCCCGCCCAGCACTGTGGCTCCACCATGGCCCAGACTGCCAAGCTCCAGCTCTTCGTCAAGGTGCGGGTGGGCTGCGGGGCGGGGCGGGGCTCGCTCTGTGGGTGCCACTGTCTCGGGGGTGGGGAAGGGGCTGCAGGGTGGGTCTCCGTGGCAGTGTCTGCGCCCGTTCCCTGGGGTGGGCGGGCTCAGGCACCCCGCGGGAGCTGATAGAACGGGGTTAGCCGAGGGGAGAAGGGCCCTGAAAGGGGTAAGGGTGGCCCTGACCCAACGCCCCTGGCTCCTGGGCCGGACAGCCCCTCAGCAGGGAGGTGCCAACCAGGTGGCCAGAGGCCAGGCCGGCGGGGAGCTGGGGATCGATGCCAGAGGGGTGTCCGGGCCCCCTCCCACTTTCAGGGCAGCGGGCGGCTGGTGCCCGGCTGGCTGTCCCGTGAATCATTCTGAAACCAGCTCCCTGGGCCGACCCCGCCCAAAACCAGCCTGTGGGGCTGGAGCCCAGGGCCCTGGCCTCTACCCAGGCTCTTCAGATAAGGGCTGAGGGCCAGGCCCCAGTGCCAGGGTCCCACCCTGCCCCGTGCCCGCTCCCAGCCTCCAGGTCCCGGGCCCTCCCCCCCAGGACCACCTCAAGGGCCCTCACCGGCCGCTTCTGAGTCTGGCCCGGCTCCAGCCTCTTGGCAGCAGGAGGCCAGGCCCACCGGCCTGGGGTCAGGGTTCCTGTCTGCTCCCTGCCCTGACCCCCACCCCACCCGCAGGCGAGCGAGGACTGTGAGAGCGTGGGCCACTGCCCCTCCTGCCAGCGGCTCTTCATGATCCTGCTCCTCAAGGGCGTGCCCTTCACGCTCACCACGGTGGACACCCGCAGGTGAGCACCCCGGCCCCGGCCCCGGCCCCGGCCCCCTCCGCGCCGGCCACTACCCCGCTGCCCGCGCCCGCAGGTCCCTGGACGTGCTGAAGGACTTTGCGCCCGGCTCCCAGCTGCCCATCCTGCTCTACGACGGCGAGGCCAAGACGGACACGCTGCAGATCGAGGAGTTCCTGGAGGAGACGCTGGGGCCCCCCGCGTGAGTGTCCTGGCTGGGCAGGAGGGACCCCAGGACAGAGCCCGGGTGGGCGCTGTGGGCAGTGCCAGGGTCTGACCCTGCCCTCCCCCCCAGGTTCCCCAGCCTGGCACCCACGGCGGGCAACGACGTCTTCGGCAAGTTCTCGGCCTTCATCAGGGGAAGGAATGTTGACTCTGACACGGGATTGCCCTGGAGGGAAGGAAACAGGAGCCCTGGCCATTTTGGGCCCCAGTTTCGACTGCTCTGAACCCCAGTTCTAGGCCAGACCCTGAGGACCCAGGCTAAGGCAGGGGGCGACGGGGCTGTGAGGTGGAGTCCTGGGCGAGCGGCGAAAAGCAGAGCCCCCGGAGTCGCGCACACTGTGCGCAGAGGACAGTCTGTGGACTCTGATGCTAGACGCCCCTAGCGGGAAGGAGAAAGAAAGCTCCAGACTGGAGGAACGCGACGAGGAGCAGGAGCCCCTGCCGGACACTGGCCAGCCGGGTGCCAGCAAGGAGCCGGGCGACGGGGCCCCCAGGGTGGGGGGTGCCCCTGGGCCTTCAACCGGTGAGCGCGGGCCACGGAGCCAAAGCCGGGGGCTGCTTCCTGGGCGGCGACGACCCCAGCAACAGGCTGAAGCAGCACAGGAGCCCGTGGAGAACAAAGGGGTGCCATAGGCCAATCTGCTGAGCTCCCAGGAGAAGGAGGAAGAAACCAAAGAAGTTTTCAATGTGAAAAAATCAAGTGAGAGCAAAAGATAAAATTACTTAAGAAAGAATGCAAAGAAGATCTTGAAAAATCAAAGACTAAGTCAGAACTCAACTCAGCAGCCAACATTGCAACATAAATGCGTGTGTTTTTTTTTTAAAAAAAGGACAGAATGTTGGAACGGCGGCGGCCAGGCCTAGAGTGGCCAGGCACAAGGCAGTGGCAGCCGGGCCTGGAGCAGCAACAGCCAGGCCCCAGAGCAGCAGCAGCCAGAACCAGAGCACCAACAGGCAGGTCTGGAGCAGCCAGACCTGGGGCAGTGTCAGCCAGGCCTGAGGCGGAGGCGGCCAAGCCCAGGGTGTCCAGTCCAGGAACACCCAGACCCAGAGTGCCCAGGCCTGGAGAGGCTGGGCCCAGAGCAGCCGGGTCGGGAGCAGGCAGACCCAGAACAGCAGCAGCCAAGCCTGGAGCATCCAGGCTGGGAGCTGCCAGGCTCGGAGCAGCCGGGCCCGGGGCAGCCGGGCTCAGAGCAGCCGGGTTGGGAGCAGTCAGGCACAGAGCAGCAGCAACCATGCTTGGAGCAGCCAGGCTGGGAGCGGCCAGGCCCGGAGCAGCCGGGCCCAGAGCAGTCGGGTTGGGAGCGTCTAGGCCCAGAGCAGCAGCTGCTAGGCTGGGATTTGCCAGGTCGGGAGCGGCCAGGACTGAAGCAGCCAGGCTCGGAGCAGCAGCTGCCAGGCTGGGAGCGGCCGGCCCGGAGCAGCAGGGCCCAGAGCAACCGGGCCCAGAGCAGCCGGGTCGGGTGTGCCCAGGTCCGGAGAAGCAGCAGCCACGGCCAGAGCAGCCAGGTTGGGAGCGGCAGTGGCCAGACCCGGAGCAGCTGGTTGTGGAACGGACCAGAGCAACAGAGGCCAGGCCCGGAGCAGCCAGGTCCGGAACAGCTCGCTCCTCGCCTGCCTCCGCCCCACGGCTGCCTCTCAGACATGGCTGGAAACTTTTGCGGGAACTTGAGGGTCTGCTGAATCAAGTGAGGAAGGCTTAGATCTGGATGTGTTGAGTTAGTATAGCGCTGGGGTGTTGATCTGTGAGTGCCTTGTGTGGGGCCTGGATGAGGTTGGTTGATCTATTTGGAAATGTCTTTGGTGTGAAGAGTATCCTTGGGCATGTGGAGGTATTATTGATTTGAGAAAATGCTAAGTAACTGATTTACTATCTGAAAAATTTAAAGCTCTGAAAGTTTAAGGTCTCTTGCCAAAAAGAGGTTTTAAAGCTAACACCTTAATTTTAATGGAGAAAGGGAATGACAAGCCCTTCCCACCCAGAACAGGTAATCCAATTCCAGCCAGCAGCTATGTTTACACAATGTGTCCATTTACACTTGAATGACTACACCTTTTGATAGCCTAAGGGCAAGTTTACATGTAAACAAGTTTGCTCTCAATTCCCAGGGCAGAAAAAAAACCAAGGTTTAAAATTATTAGATTTTTAATTTATTCTTAGAAGTGTAAAAGTTGCCGAAACCGGTTTGGCTCAGTGGATAGAGCGTCAGCCTAGGGACTGAAAGGTCCCAGGTTCGATTCCGGTCAAGGGCATGTACCTGGGCTGCAGGCACATCCCCAGTAGGGGGTGTGTAAGAGGGAGCTGTCGATGACTCTCATCGATATTTCTAACTCTCTATTCCTTGCTCTTCCTCTCTGTGAAAAATCAATAAAATATATATTTTTTTTAAAAAGAAGTGTAAAAGTTTATTAATTAAAAAAAAACAATAACAAAAACAAAAAAAGGAGATTGAAAAACCTGATGAACAATAATAGCGGTTCATTGTAGTAGAGTCAGCGATATGGGAGGGGCGTGGACTGACTGCTCTGGGGTGGGGGAAGGGAGGGAGGAAGACACTGAACATAAACTGTGCACCTATGGATGCGGACAATGGGGGGTGGGGAGGGGGCGGAGGGTGGGGTGGGAACCTGGTGGGAGGGTGAAGAAATGAGGAACCTTTGTAATACTATGAAGAATAAAGACTGATTTAAAAAATAATAATAATAATAAAAAAAAGAAACCGGACCTGTGGGCTCGGGGAGCAGGCGTGGCCGGCGGGGAAGGGGAAGGGACAGGGCCTGAGGGTCTGAGTGTGTTGGGGGCCCAGGGAGTTGGAGGTCGTGACCAGTGGACTGGGAGCCAGGAAAGTGGAGGGTCAGCCTGGGAGGCAGCACTGGATCATCTAACACACACACACACACCCTGTGCACACACAGACACGCACACAGAGACGTGCACACACACACAGACAGATATGCACACACACACACAGAAACACAGAGACATTCACACAGACATGCATACACATAGAGACACAGACGTGCACACATGTTGCACAGAGACACATGTTGTGTGCACAGACACACATGTTTCACACACAGTTTCGCACAGAGGAATGCGCACACATGTATACACACGTGCACACATAGACATGCACACACAGGGACATGCACACAAAGGCATGCACACTCGTTGCACACACATAGACACGCACACACCTGCATGCATACGCACTCATGCACGTGCACACACATGTGCAGGCAGGCGCCCGCCCCGCCGCCTCTCGGGGGGACCCAGTGTCTGTGAGTCTGGGAGCTCGCTCTGTGGAGGAATGCCTGGCAGGAGGTCCCATCTCCTCAGGTGCCCGGATTAGTGGGCGGGACTTCCACCCCCTCCTCGGCCTGACTCAGCCCTGGGAGCAGGTGACCCTGAACCGCCGAACCCTCAGCTCGGTCCCGGCTGCCCGGGGGTGGCCAAGCTGCCCGCCGCCCCGGGGGGCTGGCCGAGCTGCCCGCGGCCCCGGGGGGCTGACTGAGCTGCCCGCGGCCCCGGGGGGCTGACCGAGCTGCCCGCGGCCCCAGGGGGCTGGCCGAGCTGCCCGCGGCCCCGGGGCTGGCGGGCGCACATGTGAGGCAGACCCCACTGCGGGCACGACGGCCTGTCTCTGGTCCCCTCCACACCTGCCTCCACCGGCATCTCAGGGGCTTGGGGTCCCGGGGCCGCCGCCTGGTGCGACTCCAGGCCCATGAGGCCGTGCGGCACCCACAGCTCCCTGGGCCTCCACCGGCGCCCTTCCCCAGGCGGCGGCAGGTGGTCCCCGTGCCCGAGGCCCTACAGCGCCGTCCGGGGTGACGCGGCTGTGCCAGCTCCCGGCGGTGGCTGAGCCTGCTGGGGTTCAGGACAGAGGGGGCAGCCGGCGAGACCGGGCGTGGCCGGGCGTGGTCTGGGCTCGGCGTAGGGGGTGAGCTCGCCTACGTCACCCTCTCGGTTTTACAGATAAAGCTGCTCGGGGCCCTGATCCCGGTCGACCTGCTATTTCTGGGGAGTGGGAGGGGGCACGTGAAGCGGGGACCCCCCAACATTTCCCCATCTGGGGGGCGGAGCAAGACAGCCCCGGCCCTCAGCTCCTTGCCTGACACCCCAGCCCTCCAGCCAGGAGCCCACCCAGATCCCGGCCCCCCCTGCCTGATGCCCAGACTCGGGGAACTGAGGGGCAGCCGTGCAGCTGATGGAGCCCGGGTGGGGCCAGGCCTGGGGGCGGGGTGAGCCCTGGGCAGTGAGCCCCTGCTGCCCCCCCCCCCCCGTCCTCACTCCTCGCCCAGCCTCCCTCCCCAGGGCCAGGCCACGTCCAGGCACAGCCGTCCCCGGGGCCTGACCCCGTCTGTGCCCACACCCTCCGCCAGCGGACACACACTGGGTGCCCGGGGAGCCGGCACCGACACCGGGCGACCACGGGGCGGGCAATGGCATCCGGAGCGCCCGGTGCCGGCCCAGGTGGCGTCGGTCCTCACTGGACCCCCAGTGGGCGGGGCACCCTCCCGCCTGGGCACCCATACTTTGGAAAAAACTGCTGTTTGAATTTTAACCCTTCTAGTTTGGCCCCTGCATCTGATTAAAACACAGGGTACTTACCTCAGCTTCCAGGCGAAGACCTGGAGGCTAAGGCAATTTTCCCTTGCCTGGAACCTGGACCACGAGAGAATGATTCCCACTGACTCAGTAGCTTCAGGGATAGAAACTGGAGATAACCTTTAGGGACTAACTGCTGAGCTCTGCTTCTGTGCTATCGCTATGGCAAGATAGGGCCACATTCCACCGTCCAGCAGGACGTGACTGGGAGCAGACCCTGCTGGCTGTCCTCAGCCTTTAGAATTTAGTCTTTAGAATTTTAGGAACAAAAGGAAAATTCTTGCGGTTTAAACCTTTAAAAGGAATTGCCTACCCCTGAAACAGTGCAGTCGTGTGGAGACCCACCTGGGTGTGGTGCTCTCGCGGCTGTCCTGGCCAGTTCAATAAATCCTTGCCTGCTTTTTTTTTTTTTTTTTAAAATTAATTAATTAATCAGCCTCCAGTGGTCTTATTTTGAACCCAGGGTTTGACCCCACAACAGGGTGGCCTGGGGATGGTCTGGGGGTGGCCTGGGGGTGGCTTGGGGGTTGCCTGGGGTGGTATGTGGGTGGTCGGGGGATGTCTGGGGTGGTCTGGGTGTAGTGTGGGGGTGGCTTGGGGGTGGTCTGGGGGTGG